GACTGGGGACTGAGCTGGGACTGACTGGGGACTGAGCTGGGACTGACTGGGAACTGAGCTGGGAGAGACTGGGGACTGAGCTGGGAGGGACTGGGGACTGAGCTGGGACTGACTGGGAACTGAGCTGGGAGGGACTGGGAACTGAGCTGGGAGTAACTGGGATTGCAGGCTGTAATCAATTGGGATGTCAGCCTGGAATTAACTGGGATTGCAGCCTGGAACTGGCTCTGCACAGTCAGGCTGGGCTCTCAGGGTCAGGCCGGGCTCTGCAGGGTCAGGCCGGGCTCTGCAGGGTCAGGCCGGGCTCTGCACAGCCAGGCCTGGCCAGGCCGGGCCCTGCCCTCACCCCTGTGTCCCCAGGAGCGGCACCCCGGGGACAGCAAGAACTACAACGAGTGCATCCGGCACGAGACCATCCGCGTGGCCGTGTGTGACATGCTGGAGGGGAAGTGTCCCTGCCCCGAGCCCCTCCGGTACGGGACACCGGGACACCGGGGGGTGGGGACAGGGGACACCGGGGGGGGGGCTGGGGACACCGGGGGCAGCAGGATCCATTCCCAGCCGTCATTCCCGAATTCCCGGCAGCGGGGCCTGTGCAGGACGAGCTCTGGGGGAAAACATTCCCAGAAAATTCCTGGGAGGAGGGAGGGGAGCGCAGCTGCTGTGGCCGGGTCCCCTGGGCTCTGTCCTCTCCCTGTCTCTGTCCCCTGTGTCCCCTCCCCAGCTCTGTCCCCTCTGTCCCCTCCCTGTCTCTGTCTCTGTCCCCTCCCCGTCTCTGTCCCCTTCCTGCCTCTGTCCCCTCCCTGTCCCTGTCTCTGTCCCCTCCCTGTCCCTGTCTCCTCCCTGTCCCTGTCCCTGTCCCCTCCCTGTCCCTGTCTCTGTCCCCTCCCTGTCTCTGTCCCCTCCCCGCAGCCCCAGGGGACAGCCAGCCCGTGCCAGCAGGAGCGGGGTGGCACAGCCGTGTCCCCACGGGCCGTGGTGACCGTGTCCCCTCTGTCCCCAGCGGCGTGATGGAGAAATCCTTCATGGAGTACCTGGACTTCTACGAGGGCGTGTGCAAGGAGAGGCTGCACCTGCAGGGCCAGACCATGCAGGTGAGGGGACACAGGGCGGGGACAGCTGGGGACAGGGCAGGGACAGGGACAGGGCAGGGACAGGGACAGGGCTGGGGACAGCTGGGCCTGGGCTGAGCCTGGACAGATGTGCAGCACCAGGGGGAGTTGAAGGATCCTCTCCAGAGGAATTTCAGGATCCTCTTCAGGGGGAATTTCAGCACCCTGTCCAGGGGGAATTCCAGGATCCTTCCCAGTGCAATTCCAGGATCCTGTCAGTGAGAATTCAAGGATCCTCTCCAGGCATAGTTCCAGGATCCTCCCCAGTGCAATTCCAGGATCTTCTGCAGGGGAATTTCAGGATCCTCTCCAGTGAGAATTCCAGGATCCTTCCCAGTGGAATTTCAGGATCCTGTCCAGTCAGAATTGAAGGATCCTCTTCAGGGGGAATTTAAGGATCCTTCCCAGTGCAGTTCCAGGACCTTCCCCAGAGCAATTCCAGGATCCTTCCCAGTGGAATTTCAGGATCCTGTCCATGGGAATTCCAGGACCCTCCCCAGTGCAATTCCAGGACCCTCCCCAGTGCAATTCCAGGACCCCCCCCAGTGCAATTCCAGGACCCTCCCCAGTGCAATTCCAGGCCCCCCCCCAGTGCAGTTCCAGGACCCTCCCCAGTGCAATTCCAGGACCCTCCCCAGTGCAGTTCCAGGACCCTCCCCAGTGCAGTTCCAGGACCCTCCCCAGTGCAGTTCCAGGATCCTGTCCATGGGAATTCCAGGCCCCTCCCCAGTGCAATTCCAGGATCCTGTCCATGGGAATTCCAGGTCCCTCCCCAGTGCAATTCCAGAATCCTTCCCAGTGGAATTTCAGGATCCTGTCCAGTGCAATTCCAGGCCCCTCCCCAGAGCAATTCCAGGATCCTTCCCAGTGGAATTTCAGGACCCTCCCCAGTGCATTCCAGGCCCTCCCCAGTGCAGTTCCAGGCCCCCTCCGCCCAGGCTGCCGTTTCCCTGTGCACCTCTCCTGCTTCCCAGCCCACCCCTCTCCCGGAGCCCCCTGACCCGCGTTCCCCCCTTCCCCCAGGACCCTTTCGGGGAGAAGCGCGGCCACTTCGACTACCAGGCGCTGCTGGGGCGGCTGCAGGCGCTGCGGGCGCGGCTGCAGGAGCGGCAGCAGCAGGACAGCGCCGACATGGACTCGGAGAGCAGCTCCTCGGAGCCCGAGCCCGAGCCCCAGGGCTGCCCCAAGGCCTAGGAGGGCCCGGCCCGGCCCGGGACTGCAGCACAGCCAGGCCGGGGCGGGGAGAGCCGCGCTCCTCCCTCCCTCCCTCCCTCCCTCCATCCCTCCCCCCGACCGCCAGGAGAGTTCCCCGAGGATTCCCCGAGGAGAATTCCCAAAAAAAGAGACAAAGCCCAGCTCGGGACAGGCTCCTCTTGGACAAAGGTACTTCCTGGCATGTGGCATCAGGTGGTTTTTTGGGGTTTTTTTGGAGAACGCCTACACTGGTTG